TAAGATCCAAAATCTTCAATAAAAAATTGTGAAAGGGTAAGAAACTGCTCAAAGGGGAAATATAATTCAGATGGGGAAAGTGAGAAAAGGGGAAAGAAAAAAGACATAAATTTATATATGTACCCTTAAGATAGCTAAGATGATTATATTACTAATTCTACTAGTTCTTGCAACAAAAAGGGTTAACATTTAAAGGATTAGATCAATTTTGCATCTCTGAGTAACTCTTTTGAAGATAACAATGTAAAATAACAACCTTTGTTAAGTTCCTACCACCATGTTTTGAAAGCCTATAGTTGTTTTTTTTTGTTGTCTTTTTTTCTGTATTTTTTTGGTTTATTTTTCCCTTCTTTAAAATAAAAATTAAAAATAAAGATCAACCAACCAAGCAAAGAAACAAGCCATATTGGGAGTTCAAGAATCTCCCACCCACTTGCCTTTGTTTCTGTTCTGGCGGTCAGACTTGCACTGTGACGTGATGACTCTCCCACAATTCCCTGTCCAAAGATGGCAAACCTTTTAAGGACTGAGTGTCCAAGCTGCACCTAAAAACACGCTTATTTATTGCAAAGTTCCAACACTGTAATTAAACCTAAACACTGATGTTTTGGTTTAGAGAAAATTGCTCATACACTTGGTTCATGTGCTGACTGAGATAGCTCTGTGTGCCTGCTGTGGTACATATATGCCATAGGTCTGCCACCATTGTCCTAGTTTCTCTCTCTACCACCAACACACAGGTGGTTCCCTCATTGATTTGTTTTTTTGTACCTCGATTTCCTTTTTGGCAGCTGATTCTCTGAAGACCTAGAGAGAATACATGTGACCTCTTTCACTTATTCCCTCCTTGCATCCCACTTGTCCTGGCTGAAAGTAGTCACTGACTCTGTAGGAATGACCAGAAAATGTGCCTATATCACTGTCTTCACCCTACCCTTGCTCCTTCTGGAAGAAAGTAGATAAATACCATTACTTGTGTTCTCTTTTTACTCTGAGGAGTAGTCACAAGAATTTCAGTGGCTAAAACTGCTTCAGGAAACTAATAGCACCTATTAAGTAACTTTACAGAACAATTCACATTTGCCAGGTATTTCATGTACATTCTCACATTTAAACCTTAAAACTCTATGAGGTAGAACTAATACTCCCATTTTACAGAAGAGGAAATTGAGGCTCACTTGTCTAATATCACACAGTAGTAACCAGAAGTTGGAATTTAATACAGCTGGTCTGACACCAATGACTGGGCTCTTTACTTGTTTTATGATATGGAAGAAAGGTGAGAACTCAGGGCTTTCATAGACCACCCCTTCATGTGGTTACAGAGGCAACTGAGGCCTTAATTTTAAATATTTTGTGTTACTTAAGAAGTCATAATAAAAGCAAGACTTTCAGCCAGATATTCTTTTTGTTATTGTTAAAGTGGAGACACTATGTTGTCTAGACTGGTCTCGAACTTGCTCTGTAGCCCAGGCTGGCCTCAACCTTGTAATTCTCCTGCCTCAATCTCCTGAGTGCTGGGGTTACAGCCATGTACCATGACACCCAGGCTCTAGACAGGTATTCTAACTCCAGATTTCCATTTCATGTCTCAAAAACCAAGAAAACTAAAGACAGATCAGGCTAATTCCTTTCTCATAGTAGTCAAATAATTAAAAAATAGAAATCTTTGAGTGGGGCTAAGGACAGGAAAGCAGACCACAGCACACAAGAAAGCAGATCAGAGCATTCAAGAGACCAATTCCTGGGTAGTTTAACCTTCCTCATAGCATACCTACCCCAGGTTGGGACTTGCATTTTATGTGGGAGGAATAGTGTTACAGATCTATAGAGCTATGAATGGAATGCTCATGGGTAGTCACTGGACAGAGAGAGGATAAGAAAGAAAAGGGTGCTGTGATTTCAATATGATTAATTTCCCAAGTTATGCAGGAATTCAATCCCCCAAAGTCAAGTGTTAATACTATTCTGACGTTAGAAACTTAATTAAAAGGTCAGGTCTGTGGGAAATAATTAAATAATTAGGGTGGGGCTCCATGATTGAATTCTGGTGCTTTCTGAGGAGAGGGAAAGACAACACAGATATCTACACACTGCCATCTTGATGTGATGCCAACAAGGGGTCCCTTGTGAGAAACTTTTTGGATTTTCAACTTCCCAAACTATAAGCCAAAGTAAACCTCTTTTGTTTCTAAAGCACCTGCTCTAGGTGGCTCCCTACAGTAATGAAAAACTGATATAAGGGGAAAGAAAATGGGAAAGAAGAGCTGCAGGGAGCAGTAAGGTTCAGTGTTTCAGACTTTTTCTAAGCAGTAGTTACTTAAAGGCAGTATGTTCCTTGCTTCCCTGAAGGACTAATACTTACCTTAGCCCCAGCAGAGGGTGGATCAGGATAAACTGCTTGGAGAAGATAATATCCAAGCAGAGGCTGAAAGCATGTATAGAGCAGGCAAAAATCTTCAGTTCTACATGAAGTTGCCTTGTTAGCTCAGTTCAACATCACAAATGCATTCTGAAGGCCTACTATGTTTTGGACCATTTTCTAGGTGTAGGGGCCAGGGGTAAGCAAGCTGACTGAAATCTCTGCCTTTTATCTGGAAAGACAGCAAATTTTAACACAGTGCAGAATATGCTTTAGGAGAAGAACCTACAAGGTGCTGCTCCCAGCTCAAATCAAGCCCCAATTCTGGACATGTAAAACTCTTCACAGTCTAATGCCAAATTCCTTTCTGGTCTCATTATTATTTTCCCAAAAACTAGGGACACAACCAAGTTTTGTATGTGTGTATGGGAATCTGAACACACCAGGCTTTTGCTCACACTGCTATTCCTTAGTATGCATTTACTTTCTTGGTGATATTATCCACGACACACTTAGCATTGTCCAAATTCTCACGTTCTCGAAGATCAGCCATTAGTCTGTTTTCTAGGTTGGTGAGGTCCTTAAAGCAGATAAAAATGTAGGTCTAGTAGCACTTGTTAAGTTAGATACAGGAGGACTGTGCCTGGTAAGGAGAGTTTAGGCCATAGAACTTTAGCTTTCCTGTACATATGGATAATAAGTCCTCTTCCAGGAAACACAGTATTGATAATCTGCTTTTGGCACATAGAAGTTCAAAAAAGTTTGCTGAGTTGAATTGTGTTAATATTAAAGTCTTAGGCCAGAATTTGGACTTTATGAAGGTTTTAGCTGTGAGGTAGGTATTGGAAGGGTTAATGATCAACTTTAGCAGTTTCCTGTGGTTAAGAATGAGAGCTATGTACCTTGTACTTTGCCTGTTAGCTGGGGAAGCAGATAGACAAGCTCTCAACAGTTCAAACCCCTCAGGAAGTGATTCTTAAATTTCACTAACTATCAGAATTAAAATTATCTGCTAAATTATCACTGGCCATGTTCCATTTCTGACTCAGTAAGTCAGAGACAGAAGATTAGGGCATGGCAAACTGGGCAAGAGGGCATGACATATCAGTCATGTAGTTCCAGGAGACATATGCAGAACAAGTCCCAAAATCCTGCAACGGAGACCAATCAGAAAATACTCCTGCAACTGAGACCAATCAGAAAATCTTTAATTCTTCTTGCCAGAACAGAAGCAGGCTTTTGGTAGTATAGTGTAGACCTGTCCTCAGCCTAATGAGTGGACACTATAAGAAATGGCTGTCATTAATCTGTAGGCTTCCGCACTCTTTCACAGTGGTCGGCTCGCAGTCTGCAGTGTACTTGTTTTCCTTTTTTTTTTTGTCTTTTTCCTTTTTATCGGTACCAGGAATTGAACTCACGACTGCCTGCTTACAAGGCAGGCCCTTATGCCGCGGAGCTAAATCCCCAGCCCCTGTTTTCCTACTTTTAATTGGCCCACACTTAAGTGGCAGAACATGTTTATTTTCCTACCTTTAATAAATGTAAAACTTGCTACCTCTAGTGCTTGTTTCATCCAATTCTTTGCTCAAGACAAGAACATGAAATCTCTGGGAGTTCCTAAAACACGATAACAGGTCTGGAGTGAAATCTGAGCATTTTCATCCCTAAGAATTTTCATTTTCAACCTGACCCTTGAAACTGCTGTGTTGAACAAGACTCTCTACATAGACCAAACTTTAGCCAGAATCTACTGAATTCTCTTTTGAGTAGGCCTGACCTGGGGCTTCCAAGGTCCTTTCTTGTAGAGTCTAGTTTTAGCAAGAATCTTGCTTAGTTCCGCTGGAATTCTCAGTTGGTATCTGATCATTCCGTATCTGATCAGGTTTCGAATCTCCCACCATCCCGCAGGTGATGACGGAGTACCCTGGCCTGCTTCCAGCAAGATCTCTGTCACATGGGTTTAGCCACAGCCTCACTTTTCCCTGAAATTTCCTTTTAGCTACCTTCTCTGCTTCTTGGCTATAAATCTTTACTTTGTGTGTTCGGAGTTAATCTCAGTTTCTTATTGCAGTAGTTCTTGGTCTAAGAAGGTCCTTAATAAAGATTGTTTATCATTCTTTAACAAATGTCATGATTTTTAACAGGTCTTCTTAGAGACTCACTACAAGTTAAAGTCCCTGTGCTCAATACCTGACACATACTCAATAGAATGAGTCTCTTGAGTTTGAGCCTGACTCTACTATATCTTCAGTCTTGGTTCTAGATCAAATCCTTTTACCTTTCTGCTTCATTTGCCTTATTTGTGAAATCAGAATATGGGCTAGCTAATAATGCAAAAAAGCAACATGTCGCAGTGTTCAATTAACTTTCGCTAATTAATGTTTACTATTCACTCATTTTCTGGAGGGACAACAAAGCTGAGAGTCTAGATCGCCAAGATAGCTTAAATATAGTTTCTTTTTTGTGCAGCAAAGCACGCATAAGATCCGCCTCCGCTTTTTTTTTTCTGCATAACTCAGACCACAGCCTAAGGCCTCTAACACACACCCTTAGCTCCCAAGGGCGCTCAGTAGCCCAGCCCCCAGATCCCTACGTCCCACGGACGCTGCGCAGGCGCAGTCCCAGCTGTGTCCCGGCTTTAAGCACATGCGTACTCAGGTGCTTCAGTCCGACACTCGCCGGCAGAGCAACAATGGCGGCAGTAACGCGGGTAGCGGCGGCTGGAGCTAGGCTCAGGGTTCTGTCTGGTGGTCTCCGCACTGCGGTCCGCAGCCTTTGCAGCCAACCCACCTCCATTAATGAACGTATCGAGAACAAGAGAAATGCCGCGTTGCTGGGAGGAGGCCAGCGCCGAATCCAAGCGCAGCACAAGCGAGTGAGTTGAGGGGTCGACCGAGTCCCGCCCCTTCGCTTGTGCCCTATCCCAGCGCGCATGGCTCGCGGTGGGAGACGCCGCTCAGCCAATCGGCGCCGTGCAGGGCTGGGCTCAATGAGGGAGCTCGCTAGTAGGAGTTGTGGTCCTTGAAACCAGGATAGGCGGCTGTGTATTTGGTCTTACGTTGGACCCTTGGAATTTTAGACGGACCTTGCAAGGTTCCAGTCAGCTCTTCATTTAACAGCTGTAAACTTTTGGGCAATGTAGTATCTAGAAATCAATTTGTCTTATTTAGAAGGTGATCATAATTCTCCCTCAGAATCTTATTAGAACATGGACATAGTAAAAAAAAGATCTGCTTAGTCTTCTATTCTAGGAAAGAGCGGCGGCAAATTCTTTTTCTATGACCAGAACAGAAAAATAGAGACATGTGGTAGGGGAAATAATTTGGACACAACTTCATTAACCCTGAGTAGTGTGTGCTGCCCACAGATGGAGTACCCCCTCTGGGCCATCAGCGCGCAGGAAGCAGGTGGCCTATTTAGAAGTGTGCATGCTGCTCTGCGTTCTCGCTGGAGTGAGCAACTGATGCACTGCCTGGCACTGCCTGGATTGTTTTTCAGATTAATTAGTGAAAAAGGCAAGCATGACTACACATGACTACCGTTACTCATGAACCAGCTAGTAAAGTGCAATAAATAGTTTGGACACATATTTCCATGTTGCAACATAAGGTGATTTTTTTTTGGTAATACTTTTAAAAGTAAACATTTTTTCCCTAGTGCATCTAGGTTATACAGTTTTATACTTGCCTGGATTATACAGTTTTATAATTGCCTGGATTTTGAGTTGAGGGTCACATTTGACCTTCGAAGATACTGCGTGGGTAATTTAGCAGCAGAAAAAACTGGAAGAGGTGTCCTCAGGTTGGAACCAGGCTTGCTCAATGTGTCCGTGACTCGTGCTTGAGGCCATCCCAAAGTGCTGGGCAGGTTGTCAATAAGAGGGTGCAGAAGTGAACTCTTAACAGGTGTAGGGCACTCAGATACTACTTACAAGTATGGGGGAGGTGATTGAGAGAGCTGAGCTCAGAGGTGAGAAGATTTGAGTCCAAATCAAGTGTTGATTCATATGCCATCGCCATCGATTTCCATTTGAGAAAGGCCTGAAGGTGACAGTTCCTTTTTTACACTTGGTAGTGAATTACAAATGTGGTTGATGGTTTGTGGTTCCTGGAGGGCCTCCCTCCCTGGAGGGAAAAGATGTTAGATCATCCTCTGGAGAAGCCCACCCGTGTGCTCCAATGTACCCTTTGAGCAGGGTGAGTTGCTCAGTTCCTTCCTGGAACATTGTCTCATCCCTTCCCAGACAGAATGTGTTAGGTTTAGATGCAGCCTGCGGAAGGTTTTCTTTTGCCAAAGCTTTTTTGGTTGGGAGGCAGAGTCTACCTCTTTTAAACAGTTTTTGGAGTATTCTCCTAGGATAGATTTCCTTGAAATGGAATTAGCAGGTCAAATATTTTAGAAAATACACACTGCCAAATTTCTTTTCTCAACTTATTCAACTTTATACAACAATGTATAGGATGTATTATTGTTTAACACTTTCTTACAAGATTTGGTTGCTTTTCTCAGGAGGAGGTAGAGTGGCCTAGAATATTTGGTTGGGGCTGAGGTTTTAAGTGAAAGGATTTTGCCTTAGATAGGACACTACAGCAGTGAGAGGCGGAACCAAGGAATGTTTTACCTTGAGAGCATTTTCCCCACCCCTAGGCAATTTACCTGTGGTACAAAATGAGTTCCAATCACTGCTAGCGCATCAGTAATGCCCCTTTAGGCACCACCCCAGACCAAAGCTATATTGTATGCCCTCCACACCATGTGTCTGGCAGAGAAAGCCAGGCCCCGACGGTCATGGAGATTTTCTCCACATCTCCAATTTTAAGTGGCCTTAAATTTTAAGGCCACTTTTATATTTCCTGTCTCTCTAACCTCACTGAAAGTTTTATCATTAGGAACGCGAGAAATGGAGGTCTTTATTTTATTATTTGTTTGCACTCCTGGGAATTGAGATTACCCAGAGAAGCCTGAGCCACTGTCTTGCTAAATTGCTCAGGTTGGTCTCATAGTTGCTGTCTTCCTGTCTGGGATTATAGCTTTTGCATAGTGGAGGCTCTTGGGACATTGGGACATCTAACCTCACCTCTTAAGAATAATTTTTGGGGGGTTTTTGAGACAGGATCTTAGTATGGAATTCAGGCTGGCCTTGAATTTGAGATCTTACTACCTCTGCCTCCTGAGTGCTGTTTTTTGAACCCTTCTCAAGCTCATTACCACTCTGGCACTTTCCCTTTTACTTAGCAGTTACCTGTTGTGGGCTGTCCAGTAGGTGTGTAGTGTCTAAACAGCACCCCTGTGTGAGGTATTGGGCAGTAGGGGAGAAGAGCCCCATAAGAGCTCAGACCAGGACAATATGGGGTGGGGTTTAGGCCCCGTGAGGCATGTTTCTTAGATTTACAGGAAAAGCCTAGAAATCTGAAGGTAAAAACCTCAAGACCCTCCACTAAGCCTGTGTTAGATTTCTACCTACTTTCCAATTCTTTTTTTAAGATTCCTTAAGTCCCTCATAAATGTTTCTGGAATAGTTGGCTTGTTCTAGAGTTGGGTTCTCCTTACTCCCAATTCTCTTCACCTTTCTTGTCCTCCCCCCCACCTTTTTTTTTTGAATCAACGTCTTGCTGTGTAATCCCCTCTGGCCATGGATTCACTGTATTACCTGGGCTGGCCTTGAACTCACAGGGATCCTCCTTCCTCAGCCTCCCAGTGCTTAGGCATGTGACCCCGTGGGCAGCCCTCCTTCCTTATTTACCTTTCACAGTCAGGTGGCTCCTGAAACATCTACTCTGCTTTCCTCACTGTCTGAAATGAAATCTATTAATAACACTTGTTTACCTTGGGCAGGTCAGAGAGAATGGAGGCTTTCACATCAGGGCAAAGGGGCAAAACCTGTCTTCCTGGCTTTCTTATGAACGCTTCTTTGCTTATTAACTTTGATGACCTGACTGAGTGATCTTCATTGTGTTTTAGGGAAAACTGACCGCCAGGGAGCGGATCAGTCTCTTGCTGGACCCTGGCAGCTTTGTTGAGAGTGACATGTTTGTGGAACACAGATGTGCAGATTTTGGAATGGCTGCGGATAAGAATAAGGTATCTGCTTAAGCGGTGGTATGAACACTTCCCAGCAGAGGCTCTGCTGGCGGCAGACTTAGGGTCTGTGCAGCTTTCCTGAGTCTTTTGAGAAGTGCTGCTGGGGCCTTCAGTTCCCTCACTCCCTCCTCTTTGTCAGCAGGTGGAGTGGAGGTGGGCTGCTCATATCTCTGCATTGTAACTTGGTACTAGTTTTCAGTTCAGGGAAATGAACTGAACCCTTGGTTGAGGGTTTATTTCTGGGTGGTAGAGAATGACAAATCTGGAAAATGGGTCTCTCCAAAGACAGGAGAATGTTTTTCAGTTGTGCTTTGAGAACCAGGTTCTAAGGACCCTCTAAGTGCTGACCAGTGCCACTTTTGGACATGATTTAAGGTTATACCTCTGAGTTCTTGAGATCAGCAAAATGAATGCCGTTCATGGAATCACTGGACTCATTTTTGATCCATTTTTCCATATATGTGATTTCTGTGACCAAAGACATGTGAAGTTGGCACCAAACCAGCTCACTTCATTTGAGCCACTATGGACTGTACTGATTGCTGAGTTGCCATGAAAAATGGTATTTTAGTCGGGTGTGGTGGTGCACTCTTGTAATCCCGCCACAGGGGAGGCTGAGGCAGGTGGATTGTTGCAAGAGACCAGCCTGGGCTACAAATGAGTCCAAGCCCAGCCTGAACTGCATAGTGAGACCCTGTGTCAAAAAGACAAAAAAAAAAAAAAAAAAAAAAGGTATTTTAAAATTTTTGTAATGTTTTTGTTTTTGTTTTTGTACTGGGAATCAACACATAACCTTGCACTTGTCAGGCAAGCCCTATGCTGCTGAGCTATATCCCAGTTCCCTTTTTTATTTTTTATTTTTAAGTTTTTTTTTTTAAAGACAGTGTCACTCTGTAGCACAGGCTGGCCATGAATTTACAGTGATCTTCTTGCCTCAGTGCTATGACTACATGGATTTACCTCCAGGCCTTCTGGGTTTGCCTTTTTTAAGGTTTGAGACTGGGGTATGTGGCTTTGGAGATACTGCCATGCTTTATGTTTTCCTTCCAGTGAGCTTCTGACAGTGGTGGACAGAGCAGTGTCTTGATTATTTTTTTTTTCTTTTTTTTTTTTAATAGTGCAGGGGACCAAACCCAGAGCCTTATGCCTGGTAGGCAAGCACTCTGCCACTGAGTTGTGACCCCAGCCAGACTATTTTGTTTTTCGGAAGGAAGATGAAGTTTCAGAGTATAAACTTTTCACTCTCATCAGTGGAGTTTGCTTACTGTTGCAGGGTCAGGGAGGGAAGATAGGATTCCTTTGTGTTAGGCTGACTTTTAAGGAATTTAGTGTTTTTGGCTTTCCTTGAGGCATAGGGGCCATATTCATTGAAAGAGAAAAGTGTTTGGACTTTTTTAACCCTTACCTTTCTTTTCTCTGCTAGTTTCCTGGAGATAGCGTGGTCACTGGACGGGGCCGGATCAATGGAAGATTGGTTTATGTCTTCAGTCAGGTATTTCACAACTCCAATGTGCTGAACTTTCCTGACAGCCAGGAAAAAAATATGTGCAAGAGAATCTGGGGGAATGAAATCTTACAGTTTGGGGAAGGTGAGAGATCTACTTTCTCCTTTTCATTTCTTATGTTAGAGTATTACACTTATTTTCTTTTTCTTTTTTGGGGGGGGGAGGGTGCTGGGAATTGAACTCAGTACCTAGTGTTTGCCAGGCCGGCATTGTGCCGCTGAGCTGTTCATCAGCCCCTTACACTTTTTTCCTTAGGAAGGAAAAGTGAGCGTTGAACTCATGGCCTCATGCTTGCCCTGGGCCTGGGGTTAGGGGGTTCACTGCAGACTTGATGCCTCTGGTTAAGTTTCTTCAGAGAATAGGGTTTCTTTCTCAGCTCGAGATGGAGAGGCCTTCTGAAGTCTGCTTCCAACCCAGACTTTCTAACCTGTTTCCAGCCCTTCACACCTCTCTCCTCGCTTGCTTTCCAGGTTGTCTCCTCCTTGGTCACTCCTTCTGCACATGTGCAGGCTTCCATTTCTTCCCTCTAAGGAAGGGGTTCTTTGTTTTGTTTTGTTTTGTTTTTTTGGTGCCAGGGATCCAGCTCACCACCTTGTGCTTGTCAGGCAGGCGCTTATGCCACTGAGCTGAATCTCTGGCCCTAAGGGAGATGTTCTTGTGATTTCAGTTTGTCCAAGTTTATTCATTCTTTTCTGCTGTCGTGTGCCCATCCTTGGGGGTTGATTCTGTTCTTAATCCCTACTGTTGTCATTGTTTTCTTCTGCTTCCCTCTCCACCTCCTCTTTCTCCTCTGAGTTGCTCAGTCTGGGCTTAAACTTGTAGTCCTCCTGCCTCAGTCTCCCAACAGTGCTGGAATTATAGGCGTGGCCCAATGCGCTTGGTTTCTTTTTTCATTTTTGAGGCAGGGGGCAGGGTCTTTTTGCTAAGTTGCCCAGGCTGGCTTCAAACTCAGGATTCGCATGCGTTAGCCTCCTGAGTAGCTGGGATTATAAACTTGTGTCACTGTACTCAGCCTTGCTGTCTTTTAGGTGAGGGTTTAGGAGGAAGGCCACACTCACAAGAAGCCCTTTACAAAAGTAATGAAAGTCCGTAAGTAGAGACAACAGCTGTCACTTGTCAGAACAGCAAATGTTTCCCAGAAATAGAAATGCCTGAATGTTATCCATGGAATCTGATATTAGGGTTAATCCTGTGTAAGTTATTTCCTCAGATGCAAATCATTTTTATAAAGACTTAAGTCCTTTGTTCTTCACAATACATGAACTCCCTTTAAGATATTTTTATTCACTATTTGATGGAATCTATAAATCAGAGTTTTCTGTTTACTAACTTCTGCTACTCCTTTAAAAACATTTATCTATGCATTTTATTTCTTCTTTTTTTTGGTGGGCAGTGGTTTGAGATACGGTCTTGATGTGTAGTTCAGGCTGACCTTGAATTTACTGTGAGATCCAGGCTAGCCTCCACCTCAGTCCTCCTGCCTCAGCCTCCCGTGTGCTGAGATTACTGGTGTATCCATCATGCCTGGCCCATTCTTCTTACTGTTTTTTATCTCTGGTCAGTCATACTTTACTTGTTGATTTGTTTCCCTTTTAGGATTTTACAGTTTTTGGAGGCAGTCTGTCAGGAGCACATGCTCAGAAGATCTGCAAAGTAAGTGTTTAATATCAAAAATTAAATACTTTTATCAGTTATATGGTGCGTATGGAATATTTTGGGAATGTAAGTCACTGAGTTGGGTATTTGTGAAACAGATAGTATTGACCTAAAGGGATTCTTAGCAATTTTTTGTACCATGGACCTCTTTGACAGGCTGGCAAAGCCTGGACCCTCGTATTTTTACATGCTTAAAATATGTAAAATTATAAAGAACCAAAAATATTTAAAAATGTATTTGTAATATATGTACTTCTTTACCAATGCCTTAACATAACAAGATTAGCAGTAGATCTAGTAATTTGGTATAGTTTCCAAGTATGAATGAATAAAAATGATACTCAAGATTATCTGCAGCAGTTTTAATTTAACAAAAGCATCTGGTTTCTATTAATGACAAAGTCACAGGTATTTCTAAAACTGTTGTGGTTTATTGGCTACGTTCATATTTAAAGGAAATGCTAAAGATGAGGTTGAGTTAATAAAAATGTAAGTTTTTTGCTATCAAGATTCATAAACTGCTAAGTCCCTCTCTATGCCAACAGTTCCCAGGTTTACAGGGAGAGTCCAGGTCTCAACAGTAAAGAACAGTGTATTTTAACATCACTGGCAGAGACTGGGGAAGTAGCTCAGTGGTGCATTGCTTGCCTATCAGGCACAAAGCCCAGGGAGGTTTAGATATTCTGAGGAAGAACAAAAGTGGCAGTTTGGAGTTAATTGCACTGTTAGTAGCGGGCAGGGCTTCGCTCTGCAGTGTAACACCTGGTTTCTAAAGCCGTCCTGGCAAGTAGTCCTCCTGAGGCTGTGGGTTAGTCATGTAACTTTTTTTTTATTTGCAGTCCTTCTGCTCAGCCTCCCAGGATAGGGGTTACTTTTTTTTTTTTGTATTTTTGTATTTTTACCAGTACCAGGGATCGAACTCACAACCACACGCTTGCAAGGCAGGCGCTTATGCCACTGAGCTAAATCCCCAGCCCCCGTGGTTACTTTTAAACCTTTCTGAGTTCCATTTTTTTTTTTTTTGTGCTGGAAATTGAATTCAGGACCTGTGCTTACCAGGCAGATGCTAAGCCACTGAGCTATATCCGTGGCCCTGACTTCCCTCTTTTTACTGTCTCTGTTATAAAGGTTAAATGAGGCAATAGTGGTGAACATGCTTTGTGAACTTTCAGGGGCTGTAGAAATGCCCCTTATTATGCTGTCAGAGCTGCTGACCCATAAAAACAGTCTGTTGTGTTAGATGTAAAAGCAGGGCTGGGCCAACATTCGCTTCCATGAAAATACATCTTTGCCAATGTCTAAAACTGGTTCTTCCATAAGACCACCTATGAACTTTCTCCCCTTCCTTCCTTGTTCATCCCTCTCTCTCCCTCCTTCTGCTTCCTCCTGCTCCTCCCTCATTCTTCCCATTCTCCTTTTTTCCTTCTCTTTTCTGTCCTTTTTTTCCTTTCTCTCTTTTCCTGTTCTTCTCCTTCTTCCCCCTTCCTACTCCTCTTCTCCTTCCTTCTCTCTTCCCCATTTAAAAAAAAAAAAGAAAAAGAAAAATAACAACTGTTCACAATTCTGGCTGTTGAAGATACTACAGCCTGAGCCACTGGTTCTAGAAGTAGTTGCCATGAGCAGTGTTATTTTTTGCTAATGAGAAGTGCCTGGCCCTTGAATGTTGGGGGACTTTACTCAGCATTTTAAACACCTGGCCCTTGCCAGGCATGATGGTGCACACCTGTAGCCCTAGCACTTGGGAGGCTGAGGCAGAAGGGTTGCCTGAGTTCAAGGCCAGCCTCCTTTACACGGAGAGTTCAAGACTGGCCTGAACTGTTAAAGCAAGACTGTCTCAAAAACAAAGGCCTCAAAAATATATATCTGTTCCTTTGTCTTCCATGAAGATACCCAGTCATCATGAGGAATAAAACCAGTGTTCCTGCCTCCTGTGTGGAAAAATACATTCAGAACATTGTTTTGTTTGTTGAGATGGTCTTGCTGTATGTAGTTCAGGCTGGTTTTGGCTCACAATGCAGCTTAGGATGGCCTTGAACTTGTGGTCTTCCTGCTTCAGCCCTCAAGTGCTGGAATTACAGGGATGTACCTGGCTGCTCTCTGTACATTTTCCAGAAAACACCATGCTTTGTCAATGCTGTTTTTGATAACAAAAGCAGTTATCTCACAATCGGTTTCTCTGCTGTTTTCAGATCATGGACCAGGCCATAACAGTGGGTGCTCCAGTGATTGGACTGAATGACTCTGGGGGAGCCCGGATCCAAGAGGGGGTAGAGTCCTTGGCTGGCTACGCAGACATCTTCCTGGTAAGAAACTTTAATAGAGGGCAGAAGAGCACAGGCCCTGGTTCTTTAGGCTGTGTCCTGGCCTCAGCTTCTCTGCCCTCCTCATCGTTTTTTGTCCTAGTGTGTCTTTTCTGTGACTCCTTCCTGTGTCATGGGGGATGAGATGAAGGCTGGATGAAAAGAAAGAGGAGTGGGGAAGACTTTTTCCTGATAGAAGGCAGCTCACTGGGAAAAACGAGTCTTAAGAGGAAAGCATTTGAACTACTTTTTTTTCTTTCTTTCTTTTTAAATAAGAGGGAATAAGAAAGGTTAAAATGAATGGATTTGCTAGGATGTGATTTTTTTTTTTTTTTTCCTTTTCATTTTTATTGGTACCGGGGATCGAACTCACGACCGCCTGCTTGCAAGGCAGGTGCTTATGCCACTGAGCTAAATCCCCAGCCCCTAGGATGTGATTTTTTAAAAGTGCAATTAAGACTTCTTTTTTTTGGTTAACATATTTACCAGATCATTATACAAAGTTCAAACAGGACAAAGGAGAAATCACTCTAGTCTGACTATTTGGAGACATTTCACGAACATCATTTCATTATCTTTGTGCTTATTTATGGGCTGAAATTATGAGAGAAATGGAAAAAAACAATGTTATTTAAAGATACCAGTATACTGTGAGAGAGGGTATGGGAGGTTGGGGTGAGGGAGGGAGAAATGGCCAGAAAGAGCCTGGTAGCATTTCCGGGGAGCAGAGGGGAAGGAGAGAAGGAGACAGACATTGTCTCCCGTCAGGCTGTGGTTGCCACCCCTGGCATGCAGGCTGGTAAGCATTGTCGTCATTCAGGGTCCCTGATGCGATTCACCAGAAATACAGCCCATGTATTTTACCCCAGCTTTTTTTTTTTCCCCTTTCTTGGCAGAACTGGGGATTGACCCAGAGCCTTTGCATGGAGCTACATCCCCAGCCCTTCTTAAATTTTAAATTTTGAGACAAAGTCTCCCTAAGTTACCACGTTGCTGGGCTGAGGGGAACTTGCTCTTCTTTTTCAGTCTTCCCATTAGCTGGTATTATAAACGTGTCACCGCCTGACAGTATTTGCCCTTTATAAAATACTCTATTTGTAGGATTACTTATATTTATGGAGAAGTCACTTTTTATAGTTTCTAAACCTACTTCTTAATCTGTAGACCTGAGCTCCCAGGATAACACCCCAAGGAGCATTAGTTCCGTGGCTGGCTTGGTCTGAACAGTTCAGGCCTGGAAGGTCTATTTTGGCTCAAAGCCTGAAAATCATTTTGTGTTAGAAACAAAGGAAAGAAAGAATGGTCCCGAGAGAAGTGACAAAACCCACCATATTTTAGAGCTTGACTGGATTTTAGACCATCATCTAGTCTGACACATCTTGAGTACCAGATACGGGAGGTGTTTTGTTTTGTTTTGTTTTCCAGGAATTGGCTTTAGTGACTTTTAAGATCTTCATGGCTTAATTGCTTACTATTGCTGCTTCTGCTGCTTTTTATATTGATTTCTCCAGTTCTGCCTGTTGGTTATTTTTTTGGTAACTTTTTATTTTGACATCGTTTCTAACTTCATTGAAAACTTGCCACAATAATTCAAGAACTATTAGTTTTATACCCAGATGGACTACTTGCTTACATTTCCTGCTCTTGGGTGTATCATTTTCTTTTCATGTATACACATTTGGATATTATATATTTCTGGAACATCAAGAGTACATTGAAGATACTATGCTGTCTTTACTGGATATTTCTGAAGGACAAGGACATTTCCTTACATAACCATAACACAGTAAGCCCCTGACTTACAAACGTTGGAGTTGAGAACTTCCACAGATATCAATGGGCCTCGCATTACAAACATTTGTAGATGTGAACAAATTGCGAAAGTAGCTCCCATGTTTGGCGGAGACGGTCGCAGCCATGCTGCTGTGTGCTTGCTGTTCAGTGTGATAGTACACTGTAGTACAGTGCTCAGCAGAGCTCAGGATGTCCAGAAGCAAGAGGAAAAGCAGTAGGGATGCAAGGAAGTACAAAGCAATATGCAGTCTGTATCTGTGTTGAACGTATATATGACTCGCTTTGTCAGACTTACAAACGAATCTGATTTCTAAAGGTTCGGAATGGAATGTGTTCATAAGCTGGGGACCTACTGTATAGTAATGCTTCGTCTCCATTTGTGATGTAATCATGTGTTCTTTATAATGATATGCTGTAGTGTTAAATTAATTGATTTTTGAATGTTGTTTTTTATTCTTGTGATAATTCTCATTTTATCATGGTGTATAATTGATTTCTAAGGTGTGGGTTCCGTTTACTAGTGCTTTGTTTTAATGAGAATTCTTGTTCTACATTTTTAGGAAATATTGGTCTGTGATTACTTTGTGATGTTTTCTTTTGGTCTTTGGTATGAGACTAATTTTCACTTCGTTAAATGAGTTAGAAGTATTGCCTCTGAGGCAGGTTCATCATGTACTGGTTCCCAGTTTGCTAAGACACAAAACGCACAAGTTTATGAAGCAGACTTAAGCATAACATTAAGAGACAAAGGAAGCCTAGAATTAACTGAGAACTGATTCCCCAAGACACATGAGAGCTGTTTAGGTTGGACAGGGCCAGTGTGTGCACCACAGGTGAGAAACTCTACAGTGGACCACATCATGTGCTGGGCTGACATGGTGAAGGACACCCTTTTCTAAAGGGGAATAGACTGGAGTCTGGGGGTTCTGGCCAGCTCCTCTTCAACTCAGGTTGCTGCCTTCCTGGTACAGAGTATATCTTGCGAATTCTATGTGAGAAGGAAGGGAGGAACTGGATTAGTGTGAGGCTGCATAGAGAACTGTCTTGTTCCCTGTTCTGCTGTTAGGAAAGACTTGTAAAATGTTGATTTTTTTTTTTTTTCTCCCATCTCCCCTGGTGTGCTACAAATTGAACCCAAGGACTTATGTATACTAAGCATGTGCTGTACCACTGAGCTACATTCCTTCTTAATTCTTAATTCTTTCTTAAATATTTAGTAAAATTCATTCTCTGTCAGCTCTTTATCTTTTAAAACTGTTTAATTTGAAGATCTATCAAGTTTGATCTTTTCAGTGGCCAGTTCTTTTTCTGTGTGCTTTGTTTATTTCTGTTCTGATTTTTATTTCCTTCTTCCTGCTTGTTTGAAGTTTAGTTTTATTTTTTATAGTCCCTTAAGGTTATGTTAGGTTATTGATTTGAGTGTTTTTTTTTTTTTTAAATGCCCTCCTAGCTACAAATTGCCCTCTCACCAGTGCTTTCCCTGCATCCTAGAAGTTTTGGTATACTGTATTTTCATTTTTTTTATTCTGAAGTTTTTTTGATACTTTTAATCAAACTCATGACCTCGTGCTTGCCAGGCAGGTACTTGTGCCACTGAGCTATATCCCCGGCCCCTTCGGAAGTATTTTCGAACTGCTAGTTATTTATAAGTGTTTTAATTTGTACAGAATTGGTGAATTTTCAGTTTTCCTCTTGTTACTGAATCATAGTTTGATTTTATTGTGATTAGAAAGTTTACTTTGATTCTAATAATCTTAAGATTTTTGACCAGTTCATGGTCTTTCTTGGAGAATATGCCACTGTGCCTGAGAAGAATATGCCTTCTGTTGATGGAGAGTTGAGTGGTATAATCTCTAAAGCTACATTAGCTTATGATGTTGTTTATGTGCACTGTTCTCATATTAACTTTTTGTCTAGTTCTATCCATTACTCAAGGTAGAGTGCTAGATCTCCAGCTGAAATTCTGCATCTCTTTCTTCAGTTCTGTCAACTTTTCTTGAAATTATTTTGTGGCTTGTTGCTTCATGAATTTGGTGCTCTGTTAGATGCATATATTTTTACAACTTTTTAGGTATCTGGAACCTTTATCGTAATGTAATATCTTTGTGTTTTGTAACTTTTTTGGCTTTCAGCCTGCTTTTGTCTGATAGTAATACATCTACCATGATTATTTTTGGTTACTCTTTGCATGGAACATATTTTTTCTGACCTTGACTTTAAACTTTTTTGTGTCCTTTAATCTGAAGTAAAGCTGTTATAAACAATGAATAGATTGATTTTTCAGACAGGACTTTACTATGCTGTTCAGGCTGCTCTTGAACTCACTTTGTTTTTTAAACATCTTTTTAAAACATCTGTAGCCATATGCCTGTTTTTTGAGATAGGGTCTTACTATGTAGTTCAGACTGGCCTTGAATCAGGCTGGCCTTAAACTCCTGGCAATCCTCCTGCTTCAGCCTCTTGAGTGCTGGTTTTATAGGTCTATGCTACCACACTGGTAGATTGGTTATTTTTAAAAATTCAATCTGCTAATCTTTTTTAGTAGGGAAATTTAATTCATTTTCTTTTTTTGTTTCTTCTTGCTAATGGGAGTTAAACCCAGTGCCTGGCACATGCTGGGCAAGCAACTCATCAGTAGGCTATACTTTCAGCCTTTATTTCATTTACGTTGAAAATGTAATTATTGATAAAGCATGTTTTATTTCTGCTGTTTAGCTGTTTGTTTTCACTGTGTTAAAGCTTTTAGTGGCTTATATACTCCACCTCGGTCTTTTCTGTTGAGTTATGGCATTTTAGTTCACCTCATTTAATTTTTATTGTGTTTGAAATTTTTTTCCTTAGTGATTAGTTGATCAAAATTAATAACTCAAACTGATTGAAGTGAAACAGGGTCAGCCTTTGTAGTATGACAATACAGTGCCTGTGTACATTCCTGTCTTTTCTCTTGTTCATGTTGATATTGTGCTAGATTACCTCTTTATATATGCTGCATTCATTAACAAATTTATAGTTGTCTCATGCATTTGTCTTTCAAGTCATAGGAGAGGTAGAGATGTTACAAACTGAAATGTGCAATTATTTTTTAATGTAGGAAGTTGTATTTAGTATTTTTTTTCATAGTTTAATATTACTGTCTAATGGTCTTTTATTTCAGACTAAAGAATGCACCCTATAGTGTTTCTTTTTTTTTTTTTTTAATTTTTTATTTA